CCCCACACCCCTCCCCGCCACCTGCAACGCGCACACACAGAGCTAGTCAGAGCGCGGTGGTGGGAGCAAGTTGAATGGGAAACTGTGACTTGAAATCCAGCACAAGGGAAGGGAGGAGGAGCCACTGGTTGAGGCACGGCCACTGGTTGAGGCTGACCCCACACCCCTCCCCCCCACCTGCAAGGCACACACGCAGAGCTGGTGAGTAGGCAGTGAGGGGACGAAGGGTGAAAGTGCAAAAGCGGAGCATGCAAGGCAAATGGGAGGGGAGGGGCCACTGGTTGCTGCACAAGCTCAAGGCACAGACCCCCAAGGGGACCCGAGCGGCTGTAAGACTGTAGGGGGGCTGAACCTGAACCTGAACCTGAGGGGTTTACCTGGAATAAGAAAAGGGAGGTCTGTGGCTTGCGAATCGCGCCCCAACCAGTGGCAAGATTTGACAGAACAAGCAGAAATGAAGCAGAACTGAAATCAACCGAACGCACTTGCGAGGCAAGGTTGAAGGAGGCAAGCGACTTAGCTAAAAGTTGGAGCAGTGGTGGTGCAGGCGGAGGGGGTGCGTTGATGCAGAGTGGGCGCGGCGAGGGGGGGTTGAAAGAATGGACCTGCGAGGCAGAGGAGGGGGGAGAGAGAGTGAGTGCATGGCAGGCGGAGGGAGCGGCCGTTGCAAGTGAGAAGAGCGCCTGGCAGCAGTGCGAGTGCAGAAAAGACGGTAAATGTGATGCCAACCACAACCGCAAAAGAGCCCCTACCAACCTGAACCTGCACCTGAACCTGAACCTGAACCTGAACCTGAGGGGGAGTGGGCTCAAGTGGAGTGTGGTGGCAGGGGCGATACTGCAACCTCAACCGTTGATGAGGCCGGCGCTGCTGCCCCGCTGCCCGCGCTCCTGCTGCCCGCCCTGGTGCTTCCCTGCCTGCTGCTCGCCTGCTGCCGTCCCCCTGGCTTGTGAAGGCCTGGCAGGGAAGGGAGGGGAGGGGAGGGAGGGCGGAAAGGAAAGGCAGCCGAAAGTAAGAGGGGTTGCAATGGAGAAAAGTGTCAAACACACGTGCAACAGCAGAAACGACAGTGCATGTGACGCCAACCACAACCCCACAAGAGCCGCTACCAACCTGAACCTGCACCTGCACCTGAACCTGAACCTGAGGGGGAGTGGGCTCGAGTGGGGTGTGGTGGCAGGGGCGATACTGCAACCTCAACCGTTGATGAGGCCGGCGCTGCTGCCCCGCTGCCCGCGCTCCTGCTGCCCGCCCTGGTGCTCCCCTCGCCTGCTGCTCGCCTGCTGCCGTCCCCCTGGCTTGTGAAGGCCTGGCAGGGAAGGGAGGGGAGGGAGGGCAGGGCGGAAAGGAAAGGCAGCCGAAAGTAAGAGAGGCTGAAATGGAGAAAAGTGTCAAAACACTTGTGCAACAGCAGAAACGACAGTGCATGTGACGCCAACCACAACCCCACAAGAGCCGCTACCAACCTGAACCTGCACCTGCACCTGAACCTGAACCTGAGGGGGAGTGGGCTCGAGTGGGGTGTGGTGGCAGGGGCGATACTGCAACTTCAACCGTTGATGAGGCCGGCGCTGCTGCCCCGCTGCCCGCCTTGGCCCTCCCCATTGCTTGCTGCTCGCCAGCGGCTCTCCCCTTGGCTTGTGAAGACCTGGCAGGGCAGGGAGGGCAGGGCGGGCAGGGCAGGGCAGGATGAGATGAGAAGGAGCGGGAACGAGATTCGCTGATGTGGGATGATGGGGGAAGGGAGTGCGTAGAGTGCGATGGCAACAGGCCACAAAAACAGTGGATGTAACAGCAGAGCACAAATAACAACAAGGGACGGGAAGGAGGGTCCATTGGTGGAGGCGCAACCACAAGCCACAGACCCAAGGGAACCTGACAGGCTGTATGACCTTAGGGGGGCTGAACCTGAACCTGAACCTGAACCTGAACCTGAACCTGAGGAAGGAATGGTCTGTGACTCGCGAGTTGCGCCCTCACGAATGGCCCGATTTGGATGGAGACGCGCCACGGAAACAGTGCAACAGTGCAAACCTTGAACAGCGAGTACAGGGCACTTAGCTTGAAGGCGGAGACAGTCAACGCTTCACTGCTGCCCGCTCCCTGCTCCCTGCTGCTTGCTGACCGCTCCTGGCTGCGTGCTGCCTGGTGCGCGCAGTTGTGCCAGTGACCTGTCAGGGAGGGATAAGAGGGGGGGTGGAGAAGGGGGGTACAAAGGGAGGAGCGCGGTGAGGTGGTGAGGCAGGGAGAAAGAACAAGGGAATGGTGAGACATTGGAAGCGAGGGAAAGGCAGGTGAGGGAAGAACGAGATGGGAGAATTCCGGAATGAACATGAGGCAATGGATTGCAGTTGAGACGGCGGAAGCCAATCAACCAGAGGAGCGGAGGAGTGGTGACTTGACGAGCGCGCGCTGACGTGAGCGCGAGCCAGGGTGCGACGTGGGGCATGCAGCACGGCGCTAGAGGTGAACCCGTCTCCGCCAGCGGCGCGCGCCACGTGCCATTCGTTGCGCGCATGCGCTCACGCTGTCGCGCAGCTCCCCGCAGCAGCGCGCGCAGCGCTTGCTTGCTCGCTCGCTCGCTCGCTCGCTGCACTGAAATGAACGCGTCGCCGATTGGAATCGCCGCAATGAACGGCTCGCTCGCTCGCGAAAGAAGGCGCGTCGCGGAAAGCGTCTGCCATACCACGGAGAAACACGCGACGAAGTCGAAAGGTGAGAAGACGGAAATGGGCGACGGCGACTACGAATACGCTAATCTGCGCGAAATGATGCGCGAAACGATGCGCGAAATGATGCGCGAAACGATGCGCGAAATGATGCGTGAAACGATGCGCGAAACGATGCTCGAAACGATGCGCGAAACGACGAGTAAAACGACGGACAATTCGAGGGAAATGCGCGGACTAACCTGGTCGGCGTTGGCATCACTGCACGTTGGCGATTAAATCGCTGCCTCGCAAGACCTCGTCGCCAGCAAGAAGAGCCGTCTGCGACGAAACGACTCGTCACGAGACAGACAAACCGTCGCCAGCGACTATTGTCGGCCGCAAGACGCTAAATAGCCGGCCTAAGTGAGACGAATCGTCGCCAGCGAGAAGTAATCGTCGCCAGTGACAAGTATCAAGTGAGAAAAAACGTCGCCAGTGAGAAGTATCGTCGCAAGTAAGAAGTATTGTCGCCAGTGAGAAGTATCGTCGCCAGTAAGAAGTATCGTCGCCAGTAAGAATTATCGTCTCCAGCGTCGACTTTCGTTCCTAGCGAGAAGAATGTAGAGGATCGAGGAATTGTCGCGCAACATCGCCGGGGAGAAGAACTTCGACCAGCGATACGTATCGCCCACCGCAATATGAGCTATTAGAACCGGAGCCGCCGTTAACAGCGCTCGCCCGGCAAGAAGAATCGTCAATCACGAGACGCGTCGAGTCGACTATCGTCGCTCGCGAGTAGAATCAAGCACACTCGACATGGCGCTGGAGGAAGAACTTGCAGGAAGAAGCACAATCGCCTGCGAAACGACGTCGCCAAGCGAGAGTCTTGTTCTTCAAGCACAAGCAATTATCGCCAGCAAGGAAAGTCGTTCGTAATCGTTGTAAGTCGCCAGCGATAAGAATTGCCTAAGAGAAGAGACTGATTGAAGACCGTTTTGCAACTACGACATGAACTGCAATCGTGGAGCTGGTTGAGAGAGACGAAGCAACATTGCGGGAAAAGAAAACGCAGGATTGAGCATTGCTTTGCGTTGCAAGGGATGTGTGGTTGGTTTCGGCGACTGAGTGGGTGGTTGAGATGGGGAAAGCAGCATTGCGTTGCACCTTGCAAGGAATGCTGACCGAGGTGAGTGGGTAGGGGCGGAGCGGAGAGTGGAGTTGCGCGGGTGGTGGACGCAGGTTACGCTGAACCAAACGCTGCGCTCGCCTGCTAGCCTCTCAGCGCTTCTGGGCTAATCAGATCAGACAAGCCCAACCAACCCCAAGGCTGCTTGTTCAACGGCTTCCCTCCGCCGCTCCCCCCTTTTGCGCACGAAACCAGCCGTGAAAAGTGGTTTTGCGCTTCGGTTTGCGCGTCACTTCCCAAAACCGCTGGGGAGAATGGGGAGATATCTTCGCTCGCTGGTGGAGTTGAGGTTGCCTGACCGAACAGTGTACAGTGTAACCCCAATACAATACAATACTGTGTGTTCTGCGCTGCTGCAGTGTACAACTGTAGCAAAAAATCCATCGGTGAAATCTGCCCAGGCAGTCGAAGGCAGTCCAGAAGAAGTTACATGCAAACGTCACGAGCGTGTTTACCGTTAACGGAATACACATGTGATTGGTCAAAACTTCTAAACCGTCGGATACTTCGCGGGTTCTCGTCCAAACGATTTTCGCGACAAATCGCGAGGCCGGAAGGGTTTCTGACACCAGCGGCGAAGCCAATGCAAAACACTGCCCTCAGACGAGTTCTCCTCTGCTGCCCGCAATTCATGCACTTTCCACAGGAAACCAAAAGTTGTGTTCACAGCGCATGGTCTGCATTGGACCAGAGAAACTTAAGTAACAAACAGAATATTGAACCTCAAAAATGTTAACTGAGTCTCAGGAGATCAACTGAGTTGCGTCCAGGGGCCATCAAGTTGTATTTCGCAAAGCACAACCCTTGAAAAGTTTTCATCCTTCCCAATTTTCTCCATCCTGGTGAGGTGGAAGTCGGCCTTGGAGTTGGGTTGGGTGGAGGAGAGCTCAAGGGCCAAGGAGTGCCTGGCGCTGCAGAATTCAGAGCTCCCCCAATCAACCCCTCCACCGTCCATTGTTTTACTTGCTCCCGCCAACGCCGCTGCTTCGACAGCCCACAATCAGCTTGCTCACCTCACCCCAGCCTGCTCGTTTTCAGCCGCGCCAGACGCGCCTCCATTCCCACCACGACTTCAGCGCTCTCTCTCCAATTCCCACGCGTCTCACCTCGCGCTCGTGTCGATTTCAGCTCGCTCAAGCCACATCGCTCTCACCACATCGCCTATGAATACCCTCGTGCAGCCTCCATTTCCTGTTTCGCCTTCCATTAAATCTTCAACCGCGATCTATGCTGCGACAATCACGACGCTCTCTACCCACTCTGTCCGCTCTTCACGGCCTGGAGCCGTCTAGCAGTGCGACGCTGCACTTTCGCTGCACAACCTCCTCCATCACGGCATCTTACCATCTCCACGACCTGCTCGAGGAAGACGCTGCGCGAGCTTCACGTCCACCGCTTCTCGCTGCGTGCGCGAATCTCTATTTTCGCAAGTACGTCTCCGTGTTTTTGGTCCGTTTTCATCTGTTATTTCAATCGATTTGATGACTAATCTCGTGCGCGTTTATGTCGTGCAGACTTGCGACATATCTACTTCGGAATCGCGTTTCTCCGTTGAAGATTTCGTTGAAGGTCGCGACTCTCCGTCAGATCGCGACTTGACATTGACATTGCGATCGAGCAACATCGCCTCACCTCCTATTCGCGGGAAAGGTGAGGCTACGCCGTAGCTCGGCTTTATGTGTCCTCGCTTTCTTCGCTCGTGTCGTTTTTTAACTGCTGGCATCGAACTAATCTTTATTTCTTTCCTTATATTTTGTTTTTTTTTCCTTTGCAGCCAACTCGATGGTTAACGCGGATGTGACGTTCCGCTTCAGTCAACGTCCGCGCTGATGCGTCAGTCCACGACCCTATGCTCCGTGAAGGCGCGTCTATGCTGGCGCGTCCGTGAAGGCTCGTCAGCGACCTTCCTGCTGCAAATTACATGTTAACGATGAGTATCCCTCCTCACCAAGGTCCATCCGCCTTGCATCAGCTGCCTGTAGCACACCTTAGCCCACCCCCAGGTCTCAGGTATAGTGTCTAAGGTATAGTTCCCACCTTACCCCACTGCAGGTGCAAAACTTCTAAGCCCGGTTCGGACTCGGTATGTTAAGCCTAAGGTACCCCCCTCCTAGGGTGTGCTACAGCAGCGATGCGCTCGTTGATCGTTGCATTCGCGCTTTCGTTTTATTCTCATCGTCCCTTGCACTCATTCACTCCCTTCCCTCGTACCTCCCTTTCCCGTTCCTTCGGCAGTGCCTCTAAACAACGTCGCTGCCACTGCTCCAGTCAATGCGGATGTGCGCCAGTCAACACGGATGTCGCTCCGCTTTAGTCAACGCTCGTACTGTCGCATCAGTGGACGACCCGGCTGCTCCACACCACACGTTATCGATGAGTATCGCTCCACTCCAGTCAACTCTTTTTTAGTCTCACATCGCTGCCTGTAGCACACCCTACCCCCCCAAGCCTCAGGTATAGAGTCTAAGGTATATATAGTTCCCACATCCCCCCACTGCAGGTGCAAAATTTCTAAGGTAACCCCCCTTAGGGTGTGCTACAGCAGCTTTCGTTGTTCGTTCTATTTACTAGTTTGTTCCATTCCCATCGTCGCTTGTCTCGTCCCTTGCACTCATTTCCTTCTCTCGCACCTCACTCACCCGTTCCTTTGCAGATCCAAGTTGGATCCATTGAAGGTCCCTGGTGCTGCTCGGGTCAACGTCCGTTCTGCTCGGTTCAACACCTTTCTGCTCGGGTCAACGCCTTTCTGCTCGGGTCAACGCCTTTCTGCTCGGGTCAACGCCTTTGTGCTCGGGTCAACGCCTTTCTGCTCGGTTCAATACCTTTCTGCTCGGGTCAACGCCTTTCTGCTCGGGTCAACGCCTTTCTGCTCGGGTCAACACCTTTCTGCTCGGGTCAACGCCTTTCTGCTGCAGTCAACGTCCGTTCTGCTGCAGTCAAGGCAACATCGAAAGATAAGTATCCCTCCGACCCGCCTCTGCTCTCTGCTCCCCACACGCGCGTTTCGCATGCCTTCGCTTCGCATGTCTGCTCGCCCGCTCATCAGCACACCCAGCTCCTTGGTACCAGGTATCAGGTTCGTACAGGTACGTGCAGGTACGTGCAGGTCCCCCCCTTGCAGGTGCAAAAATGTTAAGCCCAGGTGTGGTTATTAGCTGGTAAGGTTCAGACTAAGGTTCCCCCCTTGGGTGTGCTGCTGCCGGCGCTGCTTTCATGTGATGGCCATTCGCATGCTTATCTCACGCATACTGTGCTGCTGCCGGCGCTGCTTTCATGTGATGGCCATTCGCATGCTTATCTCACGCATACTGCTTGGATCGTTCTTCTCCACTTGCTCCTCTCCCTCCACTGGTGCTAACTCAACCCCTTCCCCCCCACCCTCGCTCCAGTTTCGATGCTTGCGCGGACCTCCCTCCTGCTTGCGCGGACGATGCTGCTGCCTTCGCGGACGTCCGTGATGCCTGCGCGGACGACATTGCTGCCTGCGCGGACGACATTGCTGCCTGCGCGGACGACATTGCTGCCTGCGCGGACGACATTGCTGCCTTCGCGGACGACATTGCTGCCTGCGCGGACGACATTGCTGCCTGCGCGGACGACATTGCTGCCTGCGCGGACGACATTGCTGCCTGCGCGGACGACATCGCTGCCTGCGCGGACGACATTGCTGCCTTCACAGATGAGTATCGCCACCCCTCTCCTCAACCTCCTCTGCCTTTAATTTTTCCATCATCCATCATTCATTCGTTCATGCATGATTCATGTCACCCCACCTGCTCGCACCACACCCAAGGGTCCCCCAGGTCTTAGGTTCAGACTGGTAGTCAGGTATACTCCCCACTGCAGGTATTTTTTTGTAACTGAAGGTATCCCCTTGGGTGTACGAGAGCAGCAATCCCTCCGCTTCCACTCATGCTACGCACATCCACCCTTGCTGCTCCCATGCTTCTCCTGCTGTCCCTCCAGTAACATTTACTCACCCCCCCACTCCCACCTTCTCCTCCCCATTCCCTTCAGCCTCCGTGTCTGCTGCCTTCGCGATCGTCCCTGGTACCTTGGCGATCGTCCCTGGTACCTTCGCGAGCGTCCCTGGTGCCTTCGCGAGCGTCCCTGGTGCCTTCGCGAGCGTCCCTGGTGCCTTCGCGATCGTCCCTGGTGCCTTCGCGAGCGTCCCTGGTGCCTTCGCGATCGTCCCTGGTGCCTTCGCGAGCGTCCCTGGTGCCTTCGCGAGCGTCTCTGGTGCCTTCGCGAACGTCAGAGAAAGATGAGTATCGCCACCCCTTTGCTCAACCTCCTCTGCCTTCAATTTTTTCATCATCCATTGTCACCTCGCCCACGCATTCCTCATGTCACCCCACCTGCTCGCACCACACTCAAGGGTCTCCCCAGGTCTCAGGTACACACTGATAGGTCAGGTATTCCCCCCACTGTTGGTAATTTTGTTTACTGAAGGTACCCCCTTGGGTGTGCGACAGCAGTTCTCCCTCCGCTTCCACTCATGCCACGCACATCAACCCTTGCTGCTCCCATCCTTCTCCTGCCGTCCCACTTACCCACCCCCCACTCGCACTCCCACCCCCCGCCCTCCCCACCCCCTCTCCCCCCGTCCCCCTTGGCAGGTTGCTCTGGACGCGCATGCAGCGAGCTGGCGGGTAGCAGGGCGCTCTTCCTTGCCTGCACCGACCGCCTGCCACACGCTCCTCGCAAGACACAAGATGAGTACCTCCGCTCCCTCCCTCTCTCCCTCCGCCTTTTCCTGCTTCTGCAATTTCTCAGTATGATGCACCCTCGCACCGCTCTAGCAGCCTGTCGCACGCCCTAGGGCTCCCCAGGTATCAGGTTCAGACTGCAAGGTTCATGGTATATCCCCCACAGAAAGGTATTCCCATGGGTGTGCGCAGCAGCAGAGCTCGTTCCTGCACGCATGTGTGCTCGCTTTGGCATGTCGCCCTCTCTTGATGTGCCTTCCTTGCCTCCACTCACTTGTGTTTTTCACCCCTTCCTTCCTCCCCCAGCAGGTACCTTGGCTGTCAACTCTGCTCTCCAGTCCTTGCTGCTTCTGCTGCTTCTGCTAAGCGGACTGTCACCATGACTGGCGGACTGAGTGACTCCACTCCATGCTTCTGCTTCGTCTTCTGCTGCTGCGCGATCTACTGCCAATGGCGGACTGAGGGACTCGCTGCTGTGTGCAAAGGTAAGACAGCAGGCATCCCACCTCACCCTCGCATGCCTTCGCATCTGCCTCTCGCCTTTCACTTGCTTTCTCATTTCTGCTTCAGCTGCTCTCACTGCTTGCCGTCCTTTGCTGCTCCAGTGCTTCTACCTCTGAGGTAACTAACTTATTTTCTCTTCCCCCCTCCTGACAGGTACTGCTGCTGGAAGGGGAAGTCGTTGGCAGTTCAGCCTCGGTTGCTGCTGTTGGTGGAAGCGCAGGCGACGGCGGCAGCAGTGGTGGTGGCGGCGTTGGTGGTGGTGGTCAGCTTCACTCCACGCTGCTTCTGCTGCTGAGCGGACTGTTACTGCCACTGGCGGACTGAGGGGCTCGCTGCTGTCTGCAAGGTAAGACAGCAAGCCTCGTTCTGCCACTTGCCTTTCTCTTGCTTTCTCACTTTCAGCTTCACTTGCTTTCTCATTCTGCTTCATTCTGCTTCAGTTGTCCTTGCTTCTTGCCCTCCTTTGCTACTCCAATGCTTCTGAACTAACTTTGTTTTTCTCCCCTCCCCCCTGACAGGTACCCTCTGGTGGTGGTGATGGTGGTGGTGTTGGTGGTGGTGGTGGTGGTGGTGGCGGTGGCGGTGGTGGTGGTGGCCGTGGCGGTGGCGGTGGTGGCGGTGGCGGCGGCGGCGGCGGCGGCGGCGGTGGCGGCGGCGGTGGTGGTCGTGGAGGTGGGGTGGCAGTGGGGGTGTGGGTCAGTCCCAAGCCTGGATTCCAATAGCCGCACGTTAAGGCATAATGGACGAACACCAGACCTTGCGGCCGGGGGTCTGGTGGGGCTCCCCTCTTGCTACGTCGGTGAGGGTTCAGGTCTTGGGCTGCCTCATAGCCTCACTGCTGCTGCTGCTGTGGTGCTGCTGGCGAGTGGCTGTGGGGAGTGGTGGGGAGAGCAAGGCGGGGGAAGGAGGTTGGCCTTTCAGGGCAAGGCTTGTGAGGGCAAGGGGGGGGAGGGGGATTGGAATCCCCAGGCTGAGGCAAGCAAGGGGCAGAGGAAACCCCCTCCTCTGTCCTTAGCTTGCCTTGGTCTGGTGGTTTCAGTCCCCTTCTCTTGCCTCTCACTAGCCATGCTCTGGGAGGCTCAACCTCTTTCTCTTTTCCTTGCTCTCGCCTTACCCAGGGGGTTCAGCCCCCCTCCACTGGCACTCTGCTTTGCCTCACTGCCCTCCTCTCTCTGAGGAATGGTGGTGGTGGCATGCCATGCCATGCCATGCAGTGACACTGTGGCACTGCTGGCTGGCAGTGAGGGAGTGTTACCTAGCTCCCTGGATGGAGGTGCTGGTGGTGAGAAGTTGTGTTGGAGGTGTTGGTTGGTGGTGTGCGGTGATGAGTGGTGGTGGTTGGAGCAGTGGTGGTGGTATACCACTTGGTGACACGGCTTGGGTGTTGGAGTTGAGGTTGTGAAGGCAGTGTGGTTAACCACCACTGTTCTTCTCAGAGTTGGTGTAGCTCACTGTTCGTAGTTAGATACCTATAAAGCTGCAAATTTGTCTTGTATTGTTCTGTTCCTTTATTGAGTTTGCTCAACTCAACATGCCAGAATAGTGAAAGTAGTATTAGCTTTGGATCTTCCGCAATTCGCTTCATTTTAGGAGCAATGATTCTTATCGAAACGCGAATGACGAAATGTTTCGATGCAGCGTCCAGTCCAGTCGGAATCTCCGTAGCGACTGTCTTTCCGCCCGCCCCGCTCCGCCGCCCGCCTCCGCCCCGCCCCACCCAACCTGATGCACTTGTGCGCCCGAGCTCAATCTGAAAGCGCCATGTCACATTCTTGACCACCTCACACCACAGCATTGCCATTGCCATTTGTGCCTGCTTCACGGATAGGATCCATAGACAGACATTCTATTCAGGGAAGAACTGTGGCACCTCGTTGAAAACAAGGCAGATTTTCGCCTAGTCAGGCGTTCTATCTGGGCGTAACTTAGGCGGCTCTCGTGGAGCGAGTTCGTCGGTTCGCGTGCGCAGCTGCTCGGCGGTGACGCGAGGCGGCGGGAGCGGCGGCAGCAGCAGGCATGGGGTTCGTGTCCAGCGTGCTGGTGGGGTTGGTGGTGGGCGTGGTCATCATGTACGCCTGGAACTACTTCATGGCCGTCCGCCAGGCCAAGAGGAACGCCGTGGTATATCTCAACTTGTTCTAGGTTTCGTTTCTACCATTCTTTATTTAGCACACGCGCCGTTCCTGCAGTTACTTATCGACGCTTGTTCTTCGTGTTTTTGTCGAGAGGGGGTATGTTTCAAGATTTCTTGCGTCGCGTCGCTTACGCCGACAATAGTGACGCGGAGTCTTAACGTCTCAGATTCGGCCCGCAATGCCGTGATTTGCTGGCGCGATTCACAACGACGCCACGTTAGCCGATTCGCGTCTCGACTCGCGTCCCGGCGCTGACTCTCTCTCCCTCGTCGTTCTTCCCAGTCTTTCCCGTCCCTTTCTTTCCGGTCTTTCTCTGCCGTATCCACCCTTGTCACATTTTCACATTCATCGATCTTCACTTTCCCTCCTTCGCTCCTTCCCTCTTCATCAACCCCCCCTGTCCTGCATTCGCGATCCTGGCATTTATTCCGCGCGATTTCTTTTGCAGAAGAGCGATTTGATGGCGGTGCAGGGAATCGGGTTGAACGAGCTTAAAGCCATCTGCGGGCCGCTCTGCCCCACCTGGGTCAAGTTCACCGAATACGATGATGTGCGGTTCAATGCGGTCTCGTTTGGTTTGGATTCGTCGTGGCATGATTAGATTCGACGAGACGTGACTGGATTCGACTAAGTATGATCATCGAATTTGCTGACGAATGTTAGCCATCTCTTTCGTCTAAGTCCCATTCTCTTCCTTCTTGTCATCCCGACGAACACACATCGCTGCCTCCCTCCTTCGTTGCTTTTCTCAATCGCTCACCTGTGCCGCTCCTCCTTCCTCGTCCCCCGTCGCATGTCCCTGCTCCACCCCTCGCCCCTCTCCATCGGTCACTGCTATCCGTCGTCGTCGCTCGTCGCTGCGCGAGCAGGCGGATTGGGTCACGCGAGTGCTATCGGAGCTATGGCCGCACATCAACAAGGTGAGCAGCGCTGGCCGCACATCAACAAGGTGAGCAGCGCTGGCCGCACATCAACAAGGTGAGCAGCGCTGGCCGCACATCAACAAGGTGAGCAGCGCTGGCCGCACATCAACAAGGTGAGCAGCGCTGGCCGCTCATCAACAAGGTGAGGCTGTCTCAATGCGATCATGCTCCCCCCTCTCGCTCCTTGCATTGCGCTCGCTCCTTGTGCGCGCTCCCTTGACGCGCCTCCGAGGCTTGCGTGCTCTCCCCTCGCCATAAAACCCCCTCTTCTCGTCCTCGTTCGCATCTCGTCCCGTGTGATATGGTGGGACGAGAAGAGTCAAGTGGAGCGCGAGACGATGTCGCTCGTGCTGGACGCGAATCACCCGCCCATGACCGTCCACACCTCCTTCAAACACCCATCCCATCCCTGCAGGCCACGCGCCAAGTGCTGCGCGACACCATGGAGGGGCCAATACTGGAGGCGAGCCGTTCAGCCATGACCGTATGCTCCTCCTTCAAATCCCGCCCTCCCCGCTTCCCTTCCACCCTCCACCCTCTATCCCTGCAGGCCACGGGTCAGGTGGTGCGCGAGACGATGGAGCCAATACGGGAGGCGAACCGCCCGTCCATGGCTTTCCACTGCCCCCTTCAAACCACGTCCCGCCCCCCCTCTTCCCCCCCCCCTCCTCCTGTCCCTCCTCCACCCTCTATCCCTGCAGGCGACGAGTCAGGTGGTGCGCGAGACCCATACCCTGGAGGCGAACCATCCCTCCATGACCTGATACAACTCTTCAATACCCTTTCCCCCTCTCCCTTCCACCCCGATCTCCAGGCGACGAGTCAGGTGGTGCGCGAGACCATGGAGCCGATACTAGAGGCGAACCGCCCGTCCATCGTCTCGTCCATGACCTTCCATAAGTTCGAGCTGGGCAAGGACCACGAGAAGGCGCCTCACATTGAAGGTGCGTCAGCGTGAGCGGTGCATGTGCGTGCGTGTGTGCCACATGACGGTCGCTCCACAAGTTCGAGCTGGGCAAGGACCACGACAAGGCATCGCATTTGGAAGGTGGGAGTGTGTGTGTGCGCGCTATGCAAGCCCAAGCGGCCGGCCGTCGTGTGGTGGATGTCCTTGTACAAGTTCGGATGGGAAAAGGACTGTGGCATGCGTGCCACCGCATGTTCAATCAACGTCAGATCATCTCCCCTTCCTCCCCGTTCCTTCCTCCCTCCCTCCTCCACCCCCCACGTGCCGCTCTCCCGCCACTCTCGCCTTTGCAGGCATCAAGCTGCACAAAACAGGCGTGGAGGAGGACCAGATGATCATGGATCTGCTCATCCTCTGGCAGAGCGACGCCTCCATCATTCTCAACATCAAGACCGCTGCTGTCACGCTGCAAGTGCAGGTGGGCACGTGGGTGGGCGATAGAGGTGGGAAGTGGGAGAGAGGGGTCTTTTAGTGGAGTGTGAGAGCACTTGTGAGGCGCCCTACAGTCCATCGTGCTCTCAACATTAACTCCGCCGCCGTCACGCCGTGAGTGGGGCATGAGAAAGAGTGGGGCGTGAGAGAGAGCGGGGCGTGGGGGAGAGCGGGAAAGGTGTGGGAGAGAGCTGGGAAGGGGTGAGCTTGGGCATGGAGGGCTTCAATCGAGATTCAAATGTGAGGATAGGGATGTGGGTTAAGAGCCCCTCGTGTTCCACGCCACTCCTCGCCTCATGTGCACAGTGCACCCCATGGCTGTCGCCTCCTCTCCCCCCTCCTCCTCCCTGTCCCCCGTCCTCCCCCCTTCCCCCACCCCCCCGGGTGAAGAACCTGGTGTTCCGGGCCACGCTGCCTCATCTTCGCCCTTTCCCTCCCCTCTCCCCCTCTCTCCCCTGCTCGTCCCCCCCACACCTTCTCCCCCCCTCCCAATGTGCAGGTGAAGAACCTGGTGTTCCGCGCCACGCTGCGCCTCATCTTCCAGCTGGGCGAGCAGATGCCCTGCATCGACGCTGTCGTCGCCTCGCTGCTGCGCAAGGTGCGCTGCGGTGTGGTGTGGTGTGGTGTGGTGTGGTGTGATGGGAGGAAAGGGCACCAAGGTGTGGTGTGATGTGGGGTGATGGGATTGTGTGGGGCGGGATGTGGTGGGGAGAGGGGAGTGTGTGGGACATTCCATGCTTCTCTTACCCATGCTCTGTTTCCAAATCGCCTGTTCCCTTTCCATGCTTCTCTTCCCCATTCCTGCACCCACTCGCTGCTTTACCTCGCAAGCTCTCCTCCTCTTACTCCCTTTCTTCTCTTGAAGCGCCCCAAACTGCCTCCCTTCACTCCGCCTTTTCCGCACTGCATGGCCGCCTCTTTCTGCTCCTCCCCCCCTCTCTCTTCCTCCTTCTCTCTCACTGCCCCCTCTCTCACTGCCCCCTCTCTCACTGCCCCCTCTCTCACTGCCCCCTCTCTCACTGCCCCTCCTCCCCCTTCCCCCTCGCTCTCTCTCCTCCCCCCCCCCCTGGTGCGCCCTACCCCAGCCGCGTCCCAAGGTGGATTTTGTGTTCAAGGCGGTGGGGGGGTCGCTGGCGGCCATGTTTTGAGACGTCTCTTCCCCTTCCCTCTCCCCCTTTTCCCGCCACCTCCCCGTTCCCCCTCCCCGTGGTTCCCCACTGCCCAGCCGCGGCCCAAGGTGGATTTTGTGCTCAAGGCGGTGGGGGGGTCGCTGGCGGCCATTCCCGGGCTGGAGAAGCAGATTGATGTGAGTGCCACGCTCAGGCCGCTGGGGGAAAAGGATTGCTGGGGGCTGGATGGGGGTAGGGTATGGCTGAGAGTGTGGTGACTGTTAAAAGATTTTGTGAGGCGTGTCAAAAGATATTGTTGACATGGTATCAGCCCACAGTGCAAGAAGTGCTGGTGGCGTCCGTTGTGTGCCCCTCACACTCCTCCTTTCCCTTCACTCATCTCCCTCCGCTCCCCTCCCATCTTTCACCGCTCCACTTCTCGCATCCCCACACAACCCTATCCCCTCCCTTCCCAACCCCACTGCACCGCATCCCACCGCACGGCACCAGAACACGGTGGCATCAGTGCTGGAGTCGAACATATTGTGGCCGGAGCGCATTGTGATCAAGCTCAACCCTGCCTTTGATGAGAAGTGAGTCATGGTCACACTCATCTCATACCTTCTCACTCACACGCTCACACACACCCTCACGGTGGCATCGGTGCTGGAGTCCTGATGAGCACATATTGTTGTGGCATGAGCACATATTGTTGTGGCATGAGCACATATTGTTGTGGCATGAGCACATCATTTTGTCAAGCTCAACCCAGCCTTTGATGAGAAGTCAGTAACTTCAAGCTCACTCCCTCTCAGTCACACCCTCACACACCCTCTTGTAATCTCTCTCACACCCGCTCATACCCTCCCACACACACTTGCTCATACCCTCTCACACACACCCCTCTCACACACACACACACACACGCTCATACCCGCTGTAGTCACTCTCGTTTGCCACAGTGTCACTGACCAGTCACCAGCGCCCTCCCATGCTCACATCATTGTCTCCCCACATACCCCCCGCAGGCTGCTGGAGATGAAGTATGAGGGCGAGTTGGTGGTGACGGTGGTGCGAGCAGAGGGGGTGAAGAACGTGGATACACTGGGCAAGTCGGACCCCTACACCACCATCTGGCTCAACCCCAAGCACATGGCCAAGACGGCCGTGTGCAAGAACAACCTCAACCCCTCCTGGAACGAGACGTTTCTGCTTCCTGTTGATGACCCGCACACCGCTGAGCTCACCATTAAGGTGCGTCTGCGCATGCTTCTGCTGAGGGCAACGCTTTGTTGGGCAAGTCAGAAGAACCCTATGCTACCGTGTGCTGTCGCTCAACCCCAACCTCAACCCCTCGTGGAACGAGACGTTCCTGCTACCAGTCGATGACTCGCACACTGCTGAGCTCACCATTCAGGTCAGTGAGTGTGTGCTGGTGGTGGTGAGGGCTCTGTGAAGGTGAGTCAGTGCGCGCTGGTGGTGCGGCACTGTCAAGGTCAGTGCGCGCTGCTGCTGGTGACGGCACTGTCAAGGTCAGTGCGTGCTGCTGGTGGTGACGGCACTGTCAAGGTCAGTGCGCGCTGCTGCTGGTGACGGCACTGTCAAGGTCAGTGCGTGCTGCTGCTGGTTTCCTCCCGCAGAAAGGAGGTGCGTTTGGGGTCTTGCTTCTCTCCCCCTGCTGTTCCCCCTGCCGGACCTGATGGTAAACCTGATGGTAAATCTGATGGCGAACCTGATGGTAAACCTGATGGCGAACCTGATGCGCGAACCTGATGCGCGAACCTGATGGCAAACCTGATGGCAAACCTGATGGCAAACCTGATGGCAAACCTGATGGCAAACCTGATGGCAAACCTGATGGCAAACCTGATGGCAAACCTGATGGCAAACCTGATGGCAAACCTGATGGCAAACCTGATGGCAAACCTGATGGCAAACCTGATGGCAAACCTGATGGCAAACCTGATGGCAAACCTGATGGCAAACCTGATGGCAAACCTGATGGCAAACCTGATGGCAAACCTGATGGCAAACCTGATGGCAAACCTGATGGCAAACCTGATGGCAAACCTGATGGCAAACCTGATGGCAAACCTGATGGCAAACCTGATGGCAAACCTGATGGCAAACCTGATGGCAAACCTGATGGCAAACCTGATGGCAAACCTGATGGCAAACCTGATGGCAAACCTGATGGCAAACCTGATGGCAAACCTGATGGCAAACCTGATGGCAAACCTGATGGCAAACCTGATGGCAAACCTGATGCGCGAACCTGATGGCAAACCTGATGGCAAACCTGATGGCAAACCTGATGGCAAACCTGATGGCAAACCTGATGGCAAACCTGATGGCAAACCTGATGGCAAACCTGATGGCAAACCTGATGCGCGAACCTGATGCGCGAACCTGATGGCAAACCTGATGGCAAACCTGATGGCAAACCTGATGGCAAACCTGATGGCAAACCTGATGGCAAACCTGATGGCAAACCTGATGGCAAACCTGATGGCAAACCTGATGGCAAACCTGATGGCAAACCTGATGGCAAACCTGATGGCAAACCTGATGGCAAACCTGATGGCAAACCTGATGGCAAACCTGATGGCAAACCTGATGGCAAACCTGATGGCAAACCTGATGGCAAACCTGATGGCAAACCTGATGGCAAACCTGATGGCAAACCTGATGGCAAACCTGATGGCAAACCTGATGGCAAACCTGATGGCAAACCTGATGGCAAACCTGATGGCAAACCTGATGGCAAACCTGATGGCAAACCTGATGGCAAACCTGATGGCAAACCTGATGGCAAACCTGATGGCAAACCTGATGGCAAACCTGATGGCAAACCTGATGGCAAACCTGATGGCAAACCTGATGGCAAACCTGATGGCAAACCTGATGGCAAACCTGATGGCAAACCTGATGGCAAACCTGATGGCAAACCTGATGGCAAACCTGATGGCAAACCTGATGGCAAACCTGATGGCAAACCTGATGGCAAACCTGATGGCAAACCTGATGGCAAACCTGATGGCAAACCTGATGGCAAACCTGATGGCAAACCTGATGGCAAACCTGATGGCAAACCTGATGGCAAACCTGATGGCAAACCTGATGGCAAACCTGATGGCAAACCTGATGGCAAACCTGATGGCAAACCTGATGGCAAACCTGATGGCAAACCTGATGGCAAACCTGATGGCAAACCTGATGGCAAACCTGATGGCAAACCTGATGGCAAACCTGATGGCAAACCTGATGGCAAACCTGATGGCAAACCTGATGGCAAACCTGATGGCAAACCTGATGGCAAACCTGATGGCAAACCTGATGGCAAACCTGATGGCAAACCTGATGGCAAACCTGATGGCAAACCTGATGGCAAACCTGATGGCAAACCTGATGGCAAACCTGATGGCAAACCTGATGGCAAACCTGATGGCAAACCTGATGGCAAACCTGATGGCAAACCTGATGGCAAACCTGATGGCAAACCTGATGGCAAACCTGATGGCAAACCTGATGGCAAACCTGATGGCAAACCTGATGGCAAACCTGATGGCAAACCTGATGGCAAACCTGATGGCAAACCTGATGGCAAACCTGATGGCAAACCTGATGGCAAACCTGCTTCCTCTCTTTCCTCCCCCCTGCATCAGGTGGAGGACGACGATGTGATGCAGGACATGGATCTGGGGTGGGCGCTGTTCCCGCTGGCGGATCTGATGGACAAGAGCGGCCCCTACCAGGTCACCCTCGACCTGCTGCCGCGCCTGCACGACGACAAGCTGCTGGGGCAGGACCACAAGCTCGGCCGCATCACACTGCTGGTGAGTGAGCGCGGGGGCTGTGGTGTGGGGGGATGGGATGAGTGAGGACCGCTTCCTCTTTGCCTTGACCTCCGAGGGGCTGCTGTAGCTGCACCTGTTGCCTGCCACCCCTGCCCTGCCGTGCGTGCATGATGACAAGCTGCCGGGGCAGGACCACAAGCTCGGCCGCATCACGCTGCTGGTGAGCGTGGGAGGGGTGGAATAGTGAGGACCGTTTCCGCTCTGCCTAGGGGCTTCTGTAGCTGCACCTATTGCCTGCCACCCCTGCCCCGCCTGCACGACGACAAGCTGCTGGGGCAGGACCACAAGCTCGGCCGCATCACTCTGCTGGTGAGCGCGACAGCGGGATGGGGAAGGGGTGGAAGTGAAGGGTGAGGGTGGGGAGGAGGGAAGGGAGGGGCGAGTGGGGAGGTGTGAGGATGTCTCAAAGCTACACGTTGAGAAGCTGCTAGGCCAGGACCACAAGCTCGGCCGCATCACTCTGCTGGTGAGCGAGACATGGGCGAGGAACGGGGTGGATGGAGGGTGAGGGATGGAGGTGTGGGCTGGGAAGAGGGGAGAGACAGCGTGACGAAAGGCAGGAAAGTCGAATTGTCTAAAGGCTCCCCTTTCCCTCTTTCTCCAACCCCTCACTCACGGCACGCATGCAGCTGGCATACCGTGAGCACTCGGCTGACGAGAGGGACAGCGTGACATGAGGCAGAGAAAGTTGTGAAGATTCTCAAATGCCTCCTTTTTCGTCCCTTTCCCCCTCACACCGCCCATTCAGCTGGCGTATCGTGATTACTCAGACGAGGAGAGGGACAGCGTGACCGCGGCAGAGAAGGCGCGTGAGCTGCGCATAAAGGACCGCAGCGTGCCGGCCGACCAGGCCGCTGCCGCCATGGCTGCCGCTGCTGCCGACTCCGAGCGCCGCGTGCGCGAGGCGGCGGAACGCGCGCTCTTGACCCCCAAAACCCCGCACGCTTCCATGGCCCGGGGCACGTCTGCAGTGGGGCACAAGTCTAAGACATCCAAGGGCACGGAGGAGTCCCAGTCCCAGTCTCAAAGGAGCAGCTCTGATGCTGCTGAGGATGCGCTGCCTGTCTCCGTTGCTCCTGGCGCCCCTGCTGCCGACGCTGCTGCTGCTGATGCTGCTGCTGCTGCTGATACCGCCCCTGCTGCTGCTGATGATGCTGCTGCAGCAGCAGCACCACCACCAGCGGCCCGTGCTGGGCCAAGTCTGGCGCGGTCCATGGGTGACTTGAAGCACAAAGACAGAGAGGGATCTCTGCATGTGTCCTCGGACCAAGAAGCGGCGGACTCAGCTGCAGCAGCAGAAGCGGAAGGGGATGCGCCCCTGTCCCCTGCGCTGTCGCCGGGCCCTGATGGGAAGCCGAGGAGGAGGAGTGGGGCGATGGGGTTCATGAGCAAGGTGGGGCAGATTGGCAGGAATGTCAAGTCGGGCATTGAGGGCAGCCTGTCCCCCAAGGAGCACCACTGAGCTTGACCCTAGAGAGGTGCCTCAAAAGTGTTGGTGGGTTTTATGAGCAAGGAGGGGCCGTTGGGCACGAACGACGACGAGCCTCGCATGGGGGGAAGCCTCTGCTGTGCCCCAAGTAACACTGAGTTTGGTGGGGGTTTCTAGACCCTGAGAATTGCTCAAGGATGTACGGTATGAGCAGTGAACTTGGTGGTCCTACCGTAGTAGGAAGAGGAAACGAGGAAAAGGGTTGGTTTCTTTGTGATGGATCCATCCCCCCTAAATGCCTCTGCGAGTAGGAGGTTGTGTAGTGTAGACAGACCTGTCCAGATCAGATGTGCACACGCTACCATATTATGAGATGGTCATTAAAATAGTGGGCTCAGAGTTCCAGTTCAGTACACTTTACATGCATATGCCAAACTCTAGTGCAATCTACATAACTACAGCAGATAAAGCATTCTGGCTTTCCGTGAGAAATCCAAGGCGTAGCATTCCATTTGCTCTGCTGGTGCAGATAAGAGAAGCTGGGAAAAGAGGGATTGAATAGAGCTACCGTATCTTATGGTAGTTGACCAGAAGTTTTGGTCGAGAACAGTTTCAGGAAACAAGCAGCCGCTCCAGTCAGCTGGAAGTGCTTCAGCAAGAAGTTGCGGTGTGTGTTCAAAATTTTACGTGAAATCAGTTTTTACCGCGTACGATTTCTGGGGGTCCTCAAATTTCTCAACTGAAAATGCCAGCCCGTGGAGTTCCAAAGTGATGTTTCCGAGGCATACCGTTTGCTTTGCTGTCCGCTTCTACTCAGCTACCATGGCTCGTCATGCCATGACCCCACGCAACGCAAGGCACTCACACGAGCAAATACTGGGATCAGATTTGCAGCGAAGCCAACTGCGAAAAGCATATTTATGGCGGCTCGGCACTTTGCGGCATTTCTAGGCAATTTCGCGCTGAACCCTTCTACAGATGTATCAGATGATACAGGAACGGAGGAGGCAGGCGAAAGTGGTCATAGCAGGCCTACCTGATTCGCTATCGACATGAGCACCTATCCAGGACCTGTCGGCACACCACCGAGGCAGGGTCAGTAGACGTGTCTATTTTTAAAATTGATGACGGTACGCTGAAAATACGGGTCAGGCTTTGCCGTTAAATTTTGCATTTTGCATCCATGAGCTGACAATCGTCTTGTCTGTCAGGTTACTATGGCCAGCCACCACCTCCTCTCTCAAGCTATGGACCACAGTCAGGAGGGTACTCTTCATATCCACCTCAAGGTTACCCCCCTCAAGGCTACTCTCCGCAAGGCTATCCACCCCAGGGCTACCCTCCTCCTCCCCCTCCTGGTGCTGTGGTGGTCACTGAACGAAGAGGGAATGCTTGCGACGACTTCTATGCTGGCCTGTGAGTCTTAGAGCTATGGTTCTTTGCATTTGGGGTGCAAAATTGCATGATACGGGAATCACACTAACGTGTTTCTTGATGTTTATGCCATTGCAGCCTCGCATGTCTTTGTTGCTGCTGCATGATGGACGCCTTGACTTGAGCCTCTGAAAGGAAAGCACCTTTCATTGTCAACTGATTCGGGACATACCAATGTTTGGTCCATTCTATTGACAGATGTGTCTTTTTTGCCAGTTCTAAATCAATTTCTACTGCGTTGTGGATGAACTGGCTGGCACCATTTGTGTTCTCATTACAGTAGTTTGTTTTGCATTGGCCGAATGGATAACGAGATTGCACTTCGTTACGGTACTATCATCCTGCCTGGTACCACTTTCCCATCCCTGCTGTCGGCACTCTGCAGACTAGGTTAGGTACGTGGTACATGCATGGTAGTCTCATTCACACGCACAAGAGCTGGCCTCTTGCCTGGCCTGGCTGGAAGGCATGCAGCTGCTGTTGTCCCTTGTGTTCGTTGCCTTCACATATGGTACCACATAACTGGTGTGCCTTGCTGCGGAGAGGATGGATTCTGCTGCACGGGCCGGTTCGCAAGCGCATTTTCATTCCATGGTAGTATCCTAGTACACGAGAGACTGGCAAGCGGGGATGAGTTGAAACGATTCCACCTTGTTGAACCTACGGTAAAAGCAGAGTTTGGCAGGTCACTGCGGGCGAGTGGAAGGTGGGGAGTCGGCTGTAGCTGCAAGCGTTGTGGCGATGCCACTCGGTGTGCATGCCTGCACGGGACAATGGGCAGGGAGGGGCAAAACGAGAAGCAGAGAGGACGAGATGGGTCGAGCGAGGCCGAAAAGGGAGACAAGTGGGGAAGAGAGGGGAAGCGAAGGGCAGAGTTGAAAAATAGGAGAGCGATGAAAGGTATGGTACTGTTCTTGTGAGATTTCACCAGATAAAACCACATGTTGGGCAAGAAAACAAACTGGCCAAGAATCTCCAGTTTCCTGTCAACTCCACTTACCTCTACTTCCATCCATTCATCCGCCAACAGTCCCCCATCCTCACCTCCCACAACATCCCCTGCCTGCCTGTCAACCTTGCCCCAGACCCCCTCACCTGGCGGTTACTGGCGACGAGAGGGCAGTTCCACACGGCCGCAGCAATCCTCCCAACCCCATCGTACCGCATCCACCAGTCCTTGGGCTCCTCAAGGTCACACATCCTTGACCCCTTGGTGGCCAGGCCTCGGTAATGAGCCAGCCGCATGTCATCGCTATCCATATCAACTCCCTCCCCCGAACCCTCCCCCGAACCCTCCTTACCACCCTCCGCTCCGCCGCCCCCGGCATCCTCTGTTTTGACCACGATGTGGATTTGCGCGGCCTGCACTTTGCGCGGGTTGAGGATGTATTTGCGGTGCCCCTCCTGGTCCAAACAGTGCTCTGGGCGGTACTTCTGTGTGTCCATACAGTACACGTGCGGCCACCGGAAATGCATCCTCTCTATAAGCAGCCCCTCCATATGCACCCTCCGCCCACCACCACCACCACCGGCGGCGGCGCCGCGAAGGTCCCCGGATCGGCGGGTGGGATTCGAGGCAGCGGAGGCATCGCGGGGGGTGTCGACACAGAAGGACATGTTGTAGACGGTGCAGCCGTAGGTGATCCAGGGCCGGTCGTGGTACTTGTCTAACAGCGCCGGCATGGTGAGCGGGGGCAGCAGCTCCAGGAACTCGTCAAAGTCCTGCATGAACACCCACTGGGCCGTGCGGCGCGACCGGTACATGCAGTCCTGGATTGCCAGTGACTGGTGGGGTGGGGGTTGGGGGGTGGGTGGAGACGGGGGAAGAGGGAGAGAGAGGAGGGGGTGAGGGAGAGGGGAGGAGGGGGTGCAGCAGAAGTGTGGAGAGTGACATGAAAGGAACAGCTAGGCTGGAAGGAGACTCGCCTTACTGCTGCTGCACAATCATGCAACCCACCTGCCCGTACAGCCACGTGTCCCACTGCTGCGCCTCGCGAAACCCCGTGATCTCCACCACGCCCCTCGCCAGGTAGCCCTGCAGCGACTTTTGAGACGTCTCAAAAGAGCTACACGCTCAGGTGAGATGCAATCATGCAACCCACCTGCCCATACAGCCACGTGTCCCACTGCTGCGCCTCGCGAAACCCCGTGATTTCCACCACGCCCCTCGCCAGGTAGCCCTGCAGAGCACGCCGCACCGCGACGCCCACAGCCCCCGCGTCGTAGAAAATGAAATGGTCGGCAGCGGCGTACACGCGGTGGTAGTCCAGCCACTCCAGGAGCACGCGTGGCTCCATGGCTCCGTACATGGGTGGGCCGCAGAAACAGAGCTTGTGCTTGAAGGGGGCTGTGGCGGGGGTGATGGGCTGGGGGAAAGGGAGGGGAGGGTTGATGGAGGGAGAGACTAAAATGGTCTGCCGCGGCGTGCACGCGGTGGTAGTCCAGCCACTCCAGCAGCACGCGCGGCTCCATGGCTCCGTACATGGGTGGTCCGCAGAAGCAGAGCCGATGCTTGAAGGGGGCCGTGGGGAGGGTGTTGGGCTGGGCGGGGTTGGGATAGCAGAGAGCAGAGAGCAGAGAGCACATGACAGGCCCACAGAATGACAGTGATTTTCACAAGACAGCCCCACACCTCGTCATGCTTGCACCCACATGCACCCCACGTGGTCCTGTGCACTTACCTCGGACTTGGATTCCCGGAAGGGATAGAGAATCTCTGAGTTAATGCGTGCCTTCAGGTAGCCCCCAGGTGATTGCACAGGTGATTCCAACAGACAGTTCACCAACACTGTCTCGTACTGAGGGGGAAATGGGAGGGTAGGGCAGAAGCAGGAAATACATTATTTTCCTTTGATAATTTGTCGCGACAAAAGAAATCTAGAGCCGCTCCTTTGAGCATCTCACATGGCCATTGCAGTCGCACAGCACACAGAGCAGCAGCACACAGAGCAGCAGCAGGTGCTGATGAAGACTGTCAGTTGACATCACGTACGAGGAAGTTATGGTGCTCGCCCACGTAGATCATCTCGAGAACCCCCGGTATGACGGACCCATCCACGCCATGCCACTCGCAGAACGACAGCCGGTGCGCCCCGTGCAGCGCCAGCGCTGACAGACCCAGGATGGCGATGCGCGATGGGGACACGCGGTAGGCACTGGGAAGGAGAAAGGACGGAGGGGAAGGAAGCAATGAGACGGGGGAAAACACAGGAGAGGAAATTACAGCTTGTTGGGTGGCAGCGGTTACACCAGCGGGTGCGCTCCGTGCAGCGCCAGCGCTGACAGGCCCACAATGGCGATGCGCGATGGGGACACACGGTAGGCGCTGGGAGAGCAGGGAGGGAACAGAAGAGAGGGAAGAGCATGTTGGGCTGATGTGTGTGGTAGTGATTAGGCTATTGGGCTATTGGGCTATTAGGCTATTGGGCTATTAGGCTATTAGGCTATTGGGCTATTGGGCTATTGGGCTATTGGGCTATTGGGCTATTAGGCTATTGGGCTATTAGGCTATTAGGCTATTGGGCTATTGGGCTATTGGGCTATTGGGCTATTGGGCTATTGGGCTATTGGGCTATTGGGCTATTAGGCTATTGGGCTATTAGGCTATTGGGCTATTAGGCTATTAGGCTATTGGGCTATTGGGCTATTAGGCTATTAGGCTATTAGGCTATTAGGCTATTAGGCTATTAGGCTATTGGGCTATTAGGCTATTAGGCTATTAGGCTATTAGGCTATTAGGCTATTAGGCTATTAGGCTATTGGGCTATTGGGCTATTGGGCTATTAGGCTATTGGGCTATTAGGCTATTAGGCTATTACGCTTTTGGGCTATTAGGCTATTAGGCTATTAGGCTATTAGGCTATTAGGCTATTAGGCTATTGGGCTATTAGGCTATTAGGCTATTAGGCTATTAGGCTATTAGGCTATTAGGCTATTGGGCTATTGGGCTATTGGGCTATTGGGCTATTGGGCTATTGGGCTATTAGGCTATTAGGCTATTAGGCTATTAGGCTATTGGGCTATTAGGCTATTAGGCTATTAGGCTATTGGGCTTTTAGGATTTTGGGCTATTAGGCTATTAGGCTATTAGGCTATTAGGCTATTAGGCTATTAGGCTATTGGGCTATTGGGCTATTGGGCTATTGGGCTATTGGGCTATTGGGCTATTGGGCTATTGGGCTATTAGGCTATTGGGCTATTAGGCTATTAGGCTATTAGGCTATTGGGCTATTGGGCTATTGGGCTATTGGGCTATTGGGCTATTGGGCTATTGGGCTATTGGGCTATTGGGCTATTAGGCTATTAGGCTATTAGGCTATTAGGCTATTAGGCTATTAGGCTATTAGGCTATTGGGCTATAAGGCTACTAGGCTATTAAGCTATTGGGCTATTGGGCTATTGGGCTATTGGGCTATTAGGCTATTAGGCTATTGGGCCACCAGGCTGTTAGGCTATTAGGCTAATAGGCTATTAGGCTATTAGGGTATTAGGCTATTAGACTATTAGGCTATTCGGCTATTGGGCTATTGGGCTATTGGGCTATTAGGCTATTAGGCTATTAGGCTATTGGGCTATTGGGCTATTAGGCTATTGGGCTATTAGGCTATTAGGCTATTAGGCTATTAGGCTATTAGGCTATTGGGCTATTAGGCTATTAGGCTATTAGGCTATTAGGCTATTAGGCTATTAGGCTATTAGGCTATTGGGCTATTGGGCTATTGGGCTATTCGTCTATTGGGCTATTGGGCTATTGGGCTATTAGGCTATTAGGCTATTAGGCTATTAGGCTATTGGGCTATTAGGCTATTAGGCTATTTAGCTATTGGGCTTTTAGGCTTTTGGGTTATTAGGCTATTAGGCTATTGGCTATTAGGCTATTAGGCTATTAGGCTATTAGGCTATTGGGCTATTGGGCTATTGGGCTATTGGGCTATTCGTCTATTGGGCTATTGGGCTATTGGGCTATTAGGCTATTAGGCTATTAGGCTATTAGGCTATTGGGCTATTAGGCTATTAGGCTATTAGGCTATTGGGCTATTAGGCTATTGGGCTATTAGGCTATTAGGCTATTAGGCTATTAGGCTATTAGGCTATTAGGCTATTAGGCTATTGGGCTATTGGGCT